ATATAATTATAACATATATAACTTAATTATTTTGAACTAATTTAAGTAATTTTATAAATTATTAGGGTCAGAGTTAATTAAGGTTAGAGTTTAAATTGGCTCAAATTAGTTAGGTTTTATATTGTATAATCTTGTAATAATTTATATATGCCCACCTATACTAAAGGAGATCCCTTTAATTTTTAAGTTATAATATGCAAAAAAAACTTTAATAAAAGCCAAAGTAAATAAGTATAGTTTATTATGTGATAATTGTTACACACAAAAAGTAAAAAGCAAAAATGAAAGAAAAATGTAAAGCAAAGCTCAAAAATAGTAAAGCACACACAATATGAATATAAATATAGAAAAATAATGGTATGGTAGTCTAATAACATCTAGTAACACACTCCTGGGGATTACCTATTTATTTCCTGGGGAGTAGAAATTATAGCAGAGGATTGGTTATATCATGTAGATGGCCCTTTGGGCCATCCCACGTGCTATGATCATTGGTAATCAATCCTCTGCTATAATTTCTACTCCAATTTCCTTGGACGATTTTACTATTAAAACCACTAAGCTCTAACCCTAAAACAGACCCCAAACCTAAATAAGCTTTAAAAGATTTTATCGGTGATCACGTGACTGCAAAATTGTGTTGGACAATGATTTATGTTAAAATCGTTATAGTTTTAATTTTTTTTGAGGTTGATTAATATATATATTCTTACAAATCCACAAACAATAATTAGTAAATATATAATAAAATATAAACAAAAAATTTTTTAATCCTGACTTTATATTCATTTATTCACTTTACTAGTATTTGCCGATGTAACTAGGATATTATTATTATTCTCATCAATTTTATTCTTTCCATATTTTATCAGTGTTAGTGACCCAGGACAGGTTTGTGAAATATTAAACTTCTCACAAATCGATGCTATTCCTTTTTTTTCAAAAAAAATAATAACGACTTCTCAGTGAAATATTTGAGCATACTTACGAGAAAAAGGATAAAAATAAATACATACGGAATAACTCATCTCTAGTTGCTATCCGAAAAGAATTATAATTTGCTGGCATCTCTAGTTTGACTGTATTGTATTTAACGTTAAGTTTTTTGTCTTTTTTATGTTTTGCTAAATATATTTTATTCCAATTATAATTAGTATCATACAAAATAATAAATATTCTTTAAATAAAATTATATTTCATTTCCATTGCTTCTTTAACAACTTCGGGGTAAAAAAATGTTATTAATTTTTTTTTCATAAACATGTATCGTCAGAAATAGACAAATTTGATAATTTATCTGTTATTTCTTGCGTGTTGATGAGTTTGCTGGTGTACATGTTATTTGGATGTTTAGGTGGTTCAATGTTAAGTTTAATTTTATCGGCTTCCAAGTATTGTTTTTTGATTTCGTTATCATCCTTTTGATTCATCTCATCAAGCCAATATCCAATTCTGTTAACAATTACAGTTGCCGTGGGTCGTCCATTCTGATCCCGATCCATGCATCTCTTGGCCAATTTAACGTAACAATCAGGTGTTCCATCAGCAAATCCCGGTCGTTCTCCTTTGCAAATTTTTATTGAAAGATGAAGATCAAAAGGTTCACCATCAAATGCTCTTCTTCCAGTAGATATCTCGGACATGATAACTCCAAAGGCATAAATATCAGCCGCTTGCGTGTACGATTTACCCATCAAAACTTCAGGTGCTACGTATGGCAAAACACCATTAGTTTCTCCATCCTGCTTCACATTAGATGATGTTAAAAGTCCTAGATCCGTAATGTAACCACTATGTAAATGATTTTGCAAGATATTTCCAGAATGAAAGTCTCGATGAATCAATTCTTGAGAATGGATTGATTCAAGGTCTGAAGCAATGCAATACAACAGATTCAATTTATTTTTCCATTCCATTTGTGCTACCAAATGAAGATTTTGACGCAAAGAGCCTCTACTTGCATATTCCAAAACGATTATATAATCTTTAGAGATATCATCTCTTGATATTCCATAGCATTTTAAGAATGATGGATTTTCGTATCCGATCTCACAATATCTTTTCAACTATAGTAATATTAGTTTAAATAAATTTTAAAAAAATTATTATTACTTCATTGATAAGTTTTTGATTAATTAAATATTAACAGTTTTTTTAATTACATTAATAAAAATATTATTACCTCATTGATAAATTCTTGATTACATTTATTTGAATCATGAATCAATTTAAGTGCAACTTCATTCCAATAATTTCTATTTTTATCGTGCCAATACGCATAATGCACGGTCGCAAATCCACCTTTTCCTATCTCGTCTATATCTTGAAATTCGTTATAAGGAATCCATGATAGTTGATACTTTTCATCATCTAATATTTTTTTCAAATTATCATCAATGTTTTCATATGATAAGTTGTTTATTTTTTTTACATCTCTTTCCTTTCGATACCAATGATTGGCTCGTTGTATGTCTCTCGGTACACCAATTCCGTTTCGATAACAGTCACCAACTCGTGGAATTGCATTAATATAACCCATTTCCGCAGATTTTTTGAAATATTCAAATGCTTTCTTTTCATCCTTTTCAACTCCACTTCCATACAAATAACGAAGACCAAGGTCGTTTATTGCTGCAACATACCCCATATCAGCAGATTTTTGATAATAAATGAATGCCTTATGTGCATCCTTTTCAACTCCAATTCCATCTCGATAACAATTTCCAACACCGTATATTCCAATAACGTACCCCATCTCTGCAGATTTTTGATAATAAATGAATGCTTTATGTTCATCCTTTTCAACTCCAATTCCATTTCGATAAAAATATCCAACCATATATATTCCATTAACGTACCCCATCTCTGCAGATTTTTGATAATAAATAAATGCTTTATGTTCATCCTTTTCAACTCCAATTCCATCTTCATAACAATTTCCAACACCGTGTATTCCATTAATATCTCCCATTTCAGCAGATTTTTGATAATATTTGAATGCTATTTGTTCATCCTTTTCAACTCCGATTCCATTAGAATAACAATATCCAACATTATATGTTCCACTAGCGTTCCCCATCTCTGCAGATTTTTGATAATAAATGAATGCCTTAT